AGAAAGGCAGGGAATAAGAAGGACATAACCGCCAGAAGAAAAAGGAAACCGCAAACAAAGCTCGTAAGTCGTGTGAAGCAGTCATGTCTGGGCGAAGCTTTTCTGGTTTTCTGTTGGTTTTCCATGCTGTTTTGGTTATTTATGTCGCCATGTGCAGCAAGTCTCTGCACCTTCAACTTCTGCTATTTATTTCTATTTTGTAGTGAAGCACTGAGAGAAATTTAAGGGAAAGAAGTAATACTAAATTTACAGAATAATATCCTTAACTCAAGCATTTCAAGTTTATAAAAGACCTTTGCAGCACTGATTTGCTTGCTACTCAACTTTCCAACACTATCTTTTCACAGTTATTTCTCTTGATGCACCTCAAAAATTTTTGAAAGCGCGAAAGTCGGACAAGGAAGCTTGCGAGTAAATCTCGTACGGTTCCTGCCCGACTTTCCTGTATTCCTGCCACTTTCCACTGCCTCCATGGCCGTGTGTGTGGGCGGGAGTGCTTAGCTCTGATATATCACTTACTGCTGTTACTTCCTGCTCGCAATGTCCTTGTTGTTTATACAGCAGCGGCACCGGCCTTGTTGCTTTTGGCAATGCTCACATTAAAAGTTCATTGCTTGCGCATAAAGTACATCAAAAGCTTTGCGTACTAAATAACCGCAGTTTGAGTTTTGTCGCTTGTCGTTGCAGCCATTAAATTCATACACCCAGAGACACACACACACAACAACACACACACAGGCAGTTTAGGGAGCGGTCTGGTGTATATTTGTATATTATGCAAATCCAAGTTTTGTTTTGGTCGAGCGGTCGTAAAAACTTTTTGGTGTCCGCACGTTTGTCCGCTCGGTTTGATAGTGATTCTGGCCCCTCTCCCCCAAATTCCATTACGTTACCATTATTGTTGCTATTTTTCGTGCCGACGAAGCCAGATCGAATTTAGCATTTTCCGGTGGGGTAGCGAAAAACATTAGCGCATAAATAATGACATCTACGGGCATTTAAATTGTCTGTCATTGGTGAAAACTGAAGCGGGACATTAAAATGGAACCAAGTGTATGGAAATGGCTTACTTTTCCCTTGCAAACTCTGCAAAACTGTATAATCAGGAATGTTTTTGGTGGAAAATTTATATATTTATAGCATCGAATTTAGCTTTGATATCTTTGTTTGTTTATTTTGTAGAATTTAACAGTACATTTACAAAAGCATATATACGATTCTGTTTGTTTAAGGCAACAAAAATAGAGTTTTGATCATTTTAAATATGTGTATTTAAAACGCAAACAAATATATAAGAGCTGGGCCTTTAGAAAACGTAAATGAATTACAAATAAATCAAGAATTTGAAGGTAAAGAATTCTTTAAAAATTATTAAAGTAAAAAATAAGTAAAAGTGTACATTTAAACCTTAATAGCCACCTCAATTTCCACCTTAATTACCACCTCTATAACTTAAATGGCCCTGCCCAAACACGATTTACGAATTTACCCATATATTGCCCTACTTGCACATTAGTTTTGTTGGTTTTTTTTAAGCAGAGCTCTTTCCTTAATTGCTTTATGGCTAACCGTAAATTGTTTTAGGGCTCTTCGCTCAAATCGGTTGCCCCGCCCATCGTACAATTAGCCAACTTCATTATGCCGGCTGCTACTAATTGCAATAACAAAACACAAGTCTACGCAAATGTGTAAGCCATAAATGATAACCGAAGGGGGGCAGCCACAACAGCAACAAGGACGACAGTAACCGAAAATTGCCGCCAAAAAGGTTGGTGCCAGGAGCGATGGGGATCCTCACCGGCCACATCCTTCCCCCCAATCTCGTACCCCGAGCAAATTGGGCAAAGCCGCTTATAAAGGTAAACGCAGGGCAACACACTTTCTGGCCCAGAAAGTAGCACACAAAGTGGCGTAGAAAATAAATAAAAAAAACAGAGTGTAAAATCCACCAAAAAAAGGCTCCACTCTCCAACCAAAAAACCGAATACAAGGCACCCAACAAGTTGTGAAAAAGTGCTACACAAAATATACATACTTTTATATGTGAAACGAGAAACCGAAAAAGAGTTGGGTCACAGACGCTTTGTGCCTGGAGGAGTTACTATATCCCGTTGCCTTATTTCAATTATGACAATGATGACAATATTAAAATGCCCCAAAACTTTTGAACCAGACACTCTGAGCAAGGGGGGAGGAGTGCTGCTAATTAAAAGGCCCAAAAAGCTGGGCTATATCTAGGAGCGTATAAGCCAAAAGTCCAAAGTCACCATGGAGCAGGAAGGCTGGGGCGTCTGCCTGCCGTGTCGTTGATAACCCAAACAGGTCCTTGAGCACACAAATCACATAAATTCCAATTGAGTGCATATTCAACGAGTAAATGTGGAAAATACAAAATTTACTGTGCACTGGGCGGTGGCCTTCCCCTTTCCCCTCCCTTCTCTCCGCACCATCAGACTTGGGCACACGGTGCGTATGATTAATTTGCTTAATTTTCTATATGTGTGTGAGAACGAAGACGAATACCCATTTAAACGCCTCAGACACACACACAAAAAAAAGGGAGGGGGAGAAGGAAGGATAAAATCAGGGAACAAGTTTCAGCAAATTCATTAATTAAACAAATTAAGCTAATGGCTGCGGCTTGACGGCAGCCAAGCAAAAAGTGTTGCGTTGCCACGGAAAAACTCTTCAAGGAAAAGCACCAGCAGCAGCAGCAGCATCAGTAAAGCATGATTCAACAGAAAAGGGAAAATCTCTTAGGGAAACTGCAAAATTTAAATGAAAGAAAGAAAAAATACTCAAAGAAATTCATGCGGCAATATTTACTTGCTCTGGCTGCAGGGCAAAATCCGAAAGATCCATTAAAAATATGAATAAATTGGTAGAAAAATAAATTGAACATGACTGCTGTTTATTGACAGGCAACACCAGGCCCAATTTCACTTTGAGATTTAAAAATGGAAGCCAGTTTATTAAGACAAACTGAAGAATTTATTTTATAAAATATGGCATTCCCTGGGGATAGGGATTGGTTCTCCAAATAGATGTACACTTTGGCCCAAAGGCTTAGCTAATGGATATATGTGACAGAACACGGATTAGATTAAAGAGTACATAAAAATATTATAGGTGCGATTTAATAATTGCTAAAAAGGCTAAAGTAGTGCTTTAAATTTTTGATGAAAATCAAAGTTTTTAAAATATAATAACTAAGGCAAAAATGCATTAATTTCAATTCGGAAAGCGGGTCTGTGCTAGTTTTTATAGGGAAAACAAATCTGCATACTGGGTTCTTACTTTTCAAAAATTCAAATTTTTTCCCCAATTTTTGGCAATTTTAACAATGTAACCCCTAAAAATTTTTTGAAAATTTTGAAAAAAATAAATTTTTGTCGGACATAGCTAGATCGATTCAGATTTTGATGCTGATAAAGAATATATATGATTTATAGGGTCGGAAATGATTCCTTCGTGGCGAAATAGGCTTCTGACTAAAATGATAATACCATTATTTTAGTTGATAATTATCTATATTTTTATTTGACAATTTTTTCGACAAATCCGAGTTTAAAAAACTCATAACTAAGCCAAAACTATTATAAATTCAATTCGGAAAGCGGGTCTGTGCTAGTTTTTATTGGGAAAACAAATCTGCATACTGATTTTTTTTAATTTTAAAAATTCAATTTTTCCCCAATTTTTGACCATTTTAATGATGTTACCCCTTATAAAATCTTGAAAATTTTGAAAAAAATAAGTTTTGTCCTGATATACCTAAATTGATTCAACTGTTAATGCTGATCAAGAATATATGATTTATAGGGTCGGAAACGACTCCTTCACTTTATTTTAAGCTTCTGACTGAAATTAAAACACCCTGCAATACCTTCTCTCTCCGTAATAATTCCTTGTAATTTACCATTTTATTTTGGTAAATAAAACGCGAAATATATAATTTTATACAAGCCGTATCGCTCACGTTTGAAGTGCTCTCCATTAACAGGATCCTTTTGAAAAGTTTGCGGCATCACTGGCAGCAAATCACCCCGTATTAAATGTTGACTATTGAGCCTTCTGTTCCGGATCCGCCCCGCAGCCTCTCGCTCAAGAGTGTATCCTTTTGTCTTTAAATGGCATTTAACTTCAAGTGCCTGATGCCGGCTCAAACTTTTGCCAGTCAAATTTGTGAAATTAATGCGATTTTACCCCACTTCCCCACTCCCACTCCCTTCCCCCCTCCCCTCTTCCGAACATTGTCCCAGTGGCAGTTGTCGTCTATTGAGTGCGGTGTTGCGGTTGCCCCCAAAGTTGCTTAAAGTTTTTGCAGCCAGCTTTGCAGTGGTGGGGCGGGTGGAAAGGAAGCTTTTCCAGCCTTCCCAGCAGCTCATCCAGCTTCAGGATAAACTTATGTCATGCATGCATAAATATATTTATAGTTACGAGCAGAAAAATGTGCCAAACGCGGGCCCCGGAAGGAGGCGAAGCGCTTTTCCAACTGCGTGCCAAAGATTTATTGTGGTGATTTATTTACCGGCCCCCCCTCCCCCTCCCCACCCCTCTCAGCGCCAGCTCCTCCTGCTAGGCTCTTTCCACTCAGCTCTCAGCTCGAAGCTTATTTATTTATTCATTTTCTAATTTATTGATGTTTGTCTGACCCAGAGCTCCCTGACCCCCACAAAACAGTTGCTCCTCCAGCTGTTTTGCTGATTAGCCCAGGACCTCATTGAGTGCCGGGCACTTAAGCGAACGGAAATTTCACAACTTCTAATTCCTGACCAATTTAAATCTGAACATCTTTACAAATTCCTCTACTCATTCATGTGAAAGTTCACTCAAAACTTGTACGTTATTTAGTTTAAGCTTTGAGCGCTTTTTTTTACTTCTTTTCTCCGACTTTGGAGAGTTGCCTCAGTGGCTTTGGATTTATATATATACATATATATATATGTAAATTATCTAAGCTTTAGTTATGAGTGGTTTGAAATGCTTTTATTACTCACTCTGATTTTCTTTTTCCTTCTTGATTTGCCAGCGTATTACGAATTTTTCATTAACCCGATTAAAGACGAAATTACGCACATTCTTTTTCACACACACATTATTTTACACACGCGCCCGCTTCAAGACACAAACAAACACACTCTTTTTCACTAGATAAAAGCCATGAAAGCTTTTTCAGTTCTTACACTTACCTTTTTCCTAAAGAAAACTATAACTTTAAACACAATTTCGGGGATATTCCGATATGATACCGAATCAACCTTATTTATATATATACATTTTTAATTAAAACTTCTTAAATAATAGTACCGACAACTTTCGGGTTTTTACGCGACGCTGGTCTTGCAGAGGCATTGTGATCGCATGTAAATCGCGGTGATAACTGCATGTAAGTTCGACTTAAGATTGATGGAACTGATTAGAAAGCTCTCTCTAAGTGGAAGTCCGATAGAAGTTGGAGAGAGAGCGGGTAGAAGAGCTTGTGGAGCGAGTGTGGGAAGGCGCTTGGGAGAGAGCTTGAAACGGGACAATTCGAGGCCGCTAGTGGGATCACACTGCCTCTTAAAAATAAGCTCCCATAAAGTAAATAAAAAATATTTTAAACTGGTTTTTAATCAACTTCAAAGGGAAATAAATAATATATAAAATATTTGTTCCAATTTCTAATAATTCTATCCTAGTTTTTCCTATTATAATTAAATTTTTCTAACATTTTTTCCCCCTTTTCCCCAACCAGCAGAATCATCCGCAGCAGATCCAGAAAATTTCCATTTCCCGCAGACACACAGAACTCTCCAAAAGCGGAGCGTGGGAAAACCGTAGAATAACATGGATTTTGATACACTCCCGACTTGCTCCATTGCTCCATTTGGCTGGGGCTTTGTTTGGAGCAGCGACTGTGTGCCGCGTTTCGTTTATTTGCCTCTACTGTGTGGTATTTTTTATGCATTTGCATAAATGCGAAATGCATTTCTATGCTTTCTCTCTCTCTCTACGGGCTCTGCTCCCGGGACGGGGATAGACTGCTTTTATTGCACGTTTCCCTTTTTGGCCATTACCGCACACAGTTGCATTTTAATGAGCGCCAGCCATCTAGCGATGGGCACCTGTGCGCACGTGTGCAGACTTCTTTCAATCACTGTCTGCCTCGGCCCTCAGAGTCGGTGTTTCTTGTTTGTTTGTTTGTTTGTTTGTTGGTCTTGCCAGCGATTTGTTTGTAGACGAGCGTCTAGCCCCCCACCCCCGCCTGGCATCATTATAATGCGGCTGCAACTTGAGCTGCACCGACGCCTTGCCCTCGTCCTGTCACTTAATTAAAAGGTTGGAAAATCAACACAAGCAGCTCAAAAATAAAAGTAAAAAAAAAAATAGAAAAAATATACGACTCACAAGAGGCGAGTTCAGACTAAAGCGGAGTCCTTCGAGTGGTTTAGGCAGTGGCTTAGGCAAGGATTCTTACAAGGGGGTTCGGTTTTGGATAGGGTTTTGAATAGAGTTTTTATAATGAAGAATCTGGGGTTATCTGTAACTCTTTTGGGAGATTTTAGAGTCTTATATAGGTGTAAAAAATATGTATTTAAGATCCCTGAAAGAAGTTGAATTAAGACAGATGGGTATTGTAAATAAACTTTGTTACATGAATATATTCCATGTTTTCTTATTATTATATCCTTCTATCCATAAATTATAATATTGTAAAAACTTTAAATAGGTCTCCGAAAAACTTGAATTTCATATATATATTCTAATAGGATTATAATCTCATAGGAATACTTTACTTAATTAGTTTTGTACCAAATATTGTTTCTATACATTATATCTCTAATAAGCTTGTATGTTATTATATTAATTACTATTTAAGCTCCTTAAATATAATTTCTCCTCAATAAAAAACCCCTTCCCGTGAGCCCCTGGACTTTCATGGGTGGTCTGAGTTCAAGGGGTCGCTGATTTTATCGCGCTCGCCTTTGGCTGATTGTGCCAATTATGCAGCGAAATGCGCCGCTGCGCTCCGAATCCAAATCCAAAGCCGAATCGCCCCCAAGTGGTTTATGCACTTTCAAATCATAATAATAAATCCGAGGGGCGGCACCAACAATGGAAAGGCCGGGCTGAGCTGAGAGCCAAGAGGCGAGCAAGTGCCATTTGGGTTTCTGCCTGGATGGGAATCATTTAAATTTATTGTGAGCTGCATTTCACGCCCCTGCACTCTCTCTCTCTCTTAATCAGCCGGCGTCGTTTTGGGCATTATCCGTGGCCCATTTTCCATTTTCCGTCGCCACTTGGCCAGAAAACTTTTCCAAACGGGAATATTGAATTTTCTTCTTCTACTTCCCCTTTTTCATTATTATTTTTATTATTATTATTATTACTTTTAAGCTTACCCGTAAGCACGAACTTTCCGAAGGAGAGAACCTGCAGGGAGGTAGAAATAGTGAATTTTAGTTTGCGCCAGTTTAAAGTTTAATAAAGTAATAGAACAAACAATTTATATTGAGTGCATATCCCCCGCACTTAATCCTAGCCACTCGTAGGTAATTTTCACATTTGGTATTTACTTTATTTATACATAATTATTTAACCATAACTCATTTGGCCAGCTTGCAGTCAACAATAATTCATTGCCCTAATCAGAGCTCAGCGAAATGCTATTTTAATTTCACTGCAATTTGCAATGCAGATTGGGCTTTTCTTTTTTTTCTATTTTCTGTTAAACTTATTTTTCCATTACGTGAATTTGAAGCCCATATAAACCATACATAATATATATATATATATATATATGGTTATGAATGTATATAGCTTCATATGCCGTAGGCTGTCATAAGTGATGTGATTGATTGATGATGTCATTTAAAGCGGCTCACGAAATGAAACAGCAGGGACGAGCAGGGGACTAACGTGCAAACGTGTAAATAAATAAATAAATCAAATAAAAAATTATTGAATCAACAACGTAAAATAATTAAATCAACATGAATGATTTAACGCTCCAAATGTGTTGAAACAAAACTCATCTGACACATATCCCCTGTCCACAAAAGCATCCAATCGCCCACGAAACACACCTGTGCGGATTGGCGTGAGCCGTGCACCTTTTTGTGTTGACAACTGCTGACAGGACGAACAGAAACAACATATAAAAAGGACCTCGGCACAACGACAGCTACAAACGTGTCTATGAAATGCCACACTTTATAAATGTTTTCATAAAATATATATACAAAATGCAGAGAAAACCCAACTGAAGTTAGGGTAAAGCGACAGATTCTTGTTGGTTAACCAAATTAGTGTTTGCTTTAGATTTTAGTATAGAAATATAATTAAAACTCAATTATTAAGGGTTAAGGAAGATTAAAAGAATCCTCAACTAATTACTGGTATGTAATTTATTATATATTTAATAAATAAATTCACTGAAATACTCAAAACTTGGCAATAAATATTCTCAATGATAAATACCTTAATTATTTCAATTAAACCAGCTCTAATAATGCAATTAAAGGCTATACCATTAATAAATTTATACAAATTCCTTAATACTTTTTTAATTTAACTACTAAAAATATTGATTAACTAAAAACCCTTTTGTAAAAAACATGAACCAATCATTAAAAGTCCTGAAATAATCCACAAATTGTTCTATTTTTATAAACGTTAACAATGGTTGCCTTAATTAACCGATTTAAGCCTGGTTAAATAATCCTTTTATTAAAAGCAATAATGTCACTACACACACACTCTTTGAATATAAAAGGCATACTTCATGCAACATTTTTCCACACGATTTCTTTTTCAATTCAACAAAAATATGCATTTCTCTAACCCACAAAAATCAGCTTTCGGTTTGGAAAACTAAATCCAACCAAAAAAGAATCGAACACAGTGCAGCAATTGTTTCAAATCGTTTTATTTTCCAGCAGAATGTGATGCTGCGGATATTTGGTAGCTTACAAAAATGCATTTAAAACGCGCAAGCGGACGAAGGACGAGGCGGACGGGTAATAAAATGCCATGACAAACGTTACGCATACGCCGCGTGTTCTGCGTTTCGGAAATACCCGCAAAATGGGATACAACGAGGAGAAAACAAAAAACCATGGAACACGAGCAACTTTAATCAATATTGAAGCAGTTTTTGAGGCCAATAAATCATTTCATAATCAATTTTGCCGCTGACATGTTTATGTGAGTGTGCGCGAGGGAGAAATGCAAAAAAGGGAGCAAGAAGCAAAAGGAAAAGAATACAAAAGAAGCAAGGACAAACACAAAAACTTTCGAGCCACCTTCTGGACGCCTGTGTGTGTGATAAACAAGCCACTCTCGCACACACAGGCAAAAGGCTGCACCAGGAAGCACAAAAAACAAGCCAAAGAAGCGCCAAAATAATCAACAGATGTTGCCGCCAAACAAAAACAACAACGACAAGATGGTGGCCCAGGTCAGGGGTCAAATACGGACCCCCCCACTCTGTATGTGTGTGTGTGTGTGCGTGTAAATGAAAAGCGGATGTTGAAAGTTCAGCGCAACTGACATTGCCAAGCACAGAGCTGCATCAACAATGACAGGAGCAGCAGCAGAAGCAACAGCAGCAGTGGCCAGCCCCAAAAAGTATGCTACGACTGCGAACGGAAATTAAGTGTGACCTCTTCGCAAGGCAGCGAGAAAGAGAGGAGTAGAAAGGAGGAAAAGACGAGGAGAGCGAGAAAAGGAGAACAGGAGGGGAGAACAGATGTGAGGCCCAGAGTCAAGTGGAAATAGGTTTTGATACAATATCACGACTAAATAATACCTAGTACACAAATTAAAAGTGGAGAAATATATAAAATATTTTATAGAATTTATTTTTATATTTTTAAGAAGTCTTAAAGCTTTAAGAACTAAGAAACTTAATTTTAAATATTTATCTATTTATTTTTATATTAAACACAAAAAAAGAGGTTTAATTTTAAAAGTTACTTTACTAGAAATATTAATCTATTTTTTAAATATTCTTCTCTTTCCCCCATAACCATTATACCCCAATCATACCTCTTAAAAAAAGAAACCGCGACGCATATCAATGGCCAGTTGTAGGGACAGACGAGAGACGCAAATGGACGGACGATGGCCAAGTGCTGCTCCGACACTCCATTTTCTGTTGCATCCTAGCCCGCGCCAGGATGCGTACATGCCAAACCAGGACCCCAGAACCCCTTCAACTCTCAAAAGCATCACCGCATTCACCCTCGAGGAGGACACCGCCCTCTCCCGCCCACTTGTGATTGTGTTTGCGTGTTGTGATGCGTTCAAAATTGTATTTGCCTAGAATTGTTCAATGGGCGTGGGTGAGGGGAATGTGGAGCTAGGAGCGGGTAAAAACCCATTCGCGGATGCAACTCGAATTG